TGTATCCATACAGAACTAAGTAATCAACGTTACAATTAAAGCTATAGTTGTACAGCTTTCTAACTTTCTAATTATCAAAGATGTTTCTTTTTACTTACCTAACCCTATTCAGAGGCCTGTAACAGTTTATCCTTTAAAATATGTTAAATTGATCTGGTGCACCTGTTTCTATTCACATTAGTCAGGTGCAAAAGTACTTCCTGATCAACTGTATATTTTCCATTCCTGAATTAGGTGATAACTTATACAAATTTATGGGTATATGAATAGAAACTTATGATTAGAATATCCTCCTTATATAATACTGATTTGTTTAACCTTCTAAAATAGAAAATAAGTGCAGCCAAAACGATGCACAAGGTTTTACAGATAGCAGCCACCAACACCTTTGACCTACCGTCTATGAAGCAGAATATCCAGAGTAAGGCGACACTCGCTGCCAACAAAGTCCACCAGTCCATGTGGCCTCCCCCCTGTCCTGCCCCTGTTCCTGCAACAGAAAGAAAGTAAGAAAGAAGTGAAAAGAGATGTTGTGATCTGGCCACGCCTTGCCCCACTGCGCAGTTAAAACCCAAACATGTCACAGGCGCTTTCCCTGAAGGTGTCCAAATGGACACCTTATTAAGAACTACTTAGCTCTCACTGGTGGCATTAACACCTTAGACCTCCTGCAGCTTGAAGCTCAGGCTGAGCTTCCTGCAGGGTTTACTTTTAGTCTTACTTGTTTAAATGTTTTGTTTTTATGGCAAAATAAATATCCGCACTATATATATCCAGGTTAATTGCAAAGTTCCTTGTGATCTCTTGAAGGTGACCTCTATGTCTTGGTTCATCTGGTCACAAAGGTATTTTCAGTCTATTTACAGTTAAGAGTCTTTGCAGACATTACCTTTACAGGTCTATTGCAAAGGTTGCCATACTAACAAATTTTAGTTTGTACTCTGTACTCGATGGTATCCACTTTTGTGTAGACAGGGCCAGTATAACCAGTTCATCCTCATACTTAGAGGGACAGTAGAAGTGAAAATACACCAATATGATGATCTTGGTTCTCATTAGAGCCCTTGTTTTATGGTGACATCACTTTACCAGAAACAGATAGACACATTCTACTCTTGTTGTGATTTGCAGGTTAACAAAAAGGTAGGAAAAACAGGAGTAACCCTGTTAGCTGTGAGATGTTTTGAACCGCTGTTTTACATTACAGGAAGAGAGATGTGATGCGGCAAATACTTTTTAGATGTTTGATCATTGACTTGTTACAAGAAATTAAATTTACTTCAAATATAATAACAACTTGAGCTGCTCAGTAGGTCAAATACAAGAGGAAAAGTGAGATGAGATCACGCAAGTGTGACGCAAAGCGGCAAAAACATGATGAGCACCTCTACAATATACTGCAGCCACTTATTTCAGGGATGTCAGATGATAAATTTAAGGGATTTAGGATTAGAACGCGAATAAAATACACCTTTTTTTACTTTGGGAGTAAATGTAAACACACGGTCTGTTCAAATTACCTGTATAATAAAAAAAATGGTTTCACCTAAAAATAATCACAGAACAATCAGAGAGTTGTTTGTAAAACATTGTTTGGGATTTCTAATCCTTGACAAAGTTTTTCCTCAGCCTGAGAAGCCACAGCCACCGTCTCCTGGACGTCATCCTCCTCAGATAAAATTTCCAGCAGCATCTGCAGGCAGATAAAATGAGCATGTCAGCAACACATCTGTACCAATTTAAAAAAATTGCTTAAATTTGCCTAATCTATAAAAAATGTTGTACAACAACCTCACTTCTATTAATCCCCTCCTTAATCGGCCTTATGAGAAACCAAACTTCAGGATTTCTGCTGAATCAGAGGTATGCAGACATATGAAAGAAAACAAGCATAAACATGTTACTTGAAGTGATATGGTTTTAAGAAATAAAACAATCATTACATTACATTTCTATGTCTCTGTCTTTAAGTAATATTAAAAACAGGTACCAATAATATCTTTGATGCAATCATCGAGTTTGTGTATTAAAAAATTGTGACATTTAAAAAATACAATCTCCACAAAGCATAAAATTAGGGGAAAGGATTAGGGCCACTGAAAAAATTAAAAAAGTTAACTGATTTTTAAATTTTATTTCAGTATAATATGAGAAAAAAAGTCAGAATTCTGACTTTAATCTCAGAATCCTGAATTTTTTCTCAAAATTCTCTGCTGAAATGTCCTCTAAGGATCCTTACTCCACTGCTGTATAAAGAAATCCTTTTTTCACGGTGAGGGGCTCAAAATTGGGCCCTCCCCAACATTTTTTGTACAAAGCGTGAGAGTCAACATTCCTGTGTGTTAATATAGCTCACAATGATGTTCTATATCTGGTAATAAAAAACAGAATCATAATGAGCAGAATCTATCTGATTTGATAGAAAAATAAACTAGTTTCAGTTTCTTCTCAGGATTATCTATATAGGCAACAAACTAAACACATTCGGTCTCATCAGCTTTGAGAATCAGGTTTTGCTGAAAATGTTTATTTTATGCAAGGGCTGATCTCAATGAAATATTATTCATAAAAACGCATATTACCATCTGACACGTGTGTTATAAATTCATTACTTTACACAATAAACTGAAGGAGTCCTAATGCTGAACCTGTGGCACCCCCTTGTGGACAGTCAGGAACTCAAGAGACCATCACATCTGATGGTTGTGTCACTGAAACTATGAAGCTTTTGCTTTAAAACATGGCCCATTGTGTCAGATCTTTTTGAAAAATCAATAAAAACAGTAATAAATGGTAAATGGCCTGTAGATCATTAAGCAGTTTGGAAGCTGTTGTAATGTTAATTATTACTGAAGCGTAATTGCAGATTTAAAGGAAATTAATTTGAGTATAAGAACTCAATTTGTTGATCACTAACAAGAGATTCAAGAATTTAGAATTCGCTGTAAAAGGATCAAATTTAAACGGGTCTCCAGAAAACATTATAGAAAGTGTCTATTAAAAGTTATCAGACTCTCCAATGTTTTCTGGAGCTTTGTTTAAATGTGATCCTTCCTGTTAACCATTAGTAAGTTATGTGAGTCCTGATTGGAGTGATAAAAGTCCAGTATAATGATTGTTTTTCTTTTATATTTTAAACAATAATTATACAAGTCACATTGCGTTTCTGCTCCTCCTCCTTAAATCAGAGCAGTGTTGGAAACATTTATCTGCTTAACATCTGGCACAAAAAAATGACATCTCCAGCTAAACCCTACAAGTTCCATCAAGAGTTACATGCCGTATTTGAGTGAAACCCATCTATCTGGACAGCTGCAGTGTCACTTCGCCCATAAACTGCCCTCTACCTCTGATGAGCATTATGCATCAAATGTGTTGGTGGCTTGTGCTCAGTCCTGTTTCATATCACAATCACTGCTGCTTCAGATTTTCTGTGGAGGAAAATTATCAGGAGATCAGCAAGCAAGAGAACAACTTCCTCAGAGTTTGTAAATCAGATTTTAGTTTACTTTTACAGAAGGCTCATCATATTCAAACTATATACTAGCATAATTGTTACATGAAAGGTTTAAGTTGACATTTGCTGTATCCATAAACTGGACAGGACTCACAACACTTACGCTCTCTACAAGAAGCGTCAGAGCTAGTCTGCTCTGACGCTTGGAGTGCAGGGTGCACCACTAAAAACCTTCTATGACTCTATTATGGCATCAGCCATCTTCTATGGATCTGTCTATTGAAGCAGTGGCTTATCTGTAGCTGAGAGAAAGTGGCTGCATTGGAAAAAAATCTAAATCTAGATGTTATCTTTCTTCAAATTAGTCCATTTTTTCTTGGACTTAGGTGGTTAAAGAGGCATCTTGCCAATGGAACAAGACAATTTATACTTAAAATAAGGAAACACAATTACATTGTCTTATTATAAGTCATATTATCTAATTATCTTATTTTAAGAATAAAAATACTCATTCCATTGGCAAACTATCTCAAATACCTACTCAAATTAAGGGTAAATACAGTTAATTTAAGAAATGTTCACTTATTGGGTGCCCTCTGGACAGTGCATAATGTCATGCATGAAGCTCTTGCTCAACTGGAAAGCTCCGTCATTGACAGACATACACAACGGAGTGTTATCACAGATCCTTCCTCGCAGCAGCTGTTAGACTTTATAACCATCACTGTTCCCAACGACCTCAACAATTTGTTATGTTTATGCTGATTTTTTTGCACATTTTCTACATTAGTTAAAGAACATGCTGCTGTCATTTTTCTCTGGTGTTGCTATTTTTCACATATCCATTACTGTAACGTTGTCCACAGCAAGCAAATTTTTCAATTCTATTCTATTCCATGAAAACATGGTTTTCTAAGAATTTTAGCGAGTGATTCCATACATTGTTCCCCAGACTGGCGACACCCTAAAAGAATTAGAACGTTAATATTTGATTTTTGTATTTTTCTTTTTTAGGTAAAGGTGCAATTTCTAATTTCATGGTATATCTAATATCCAAAAAATTTAGGTCTATTAGATAAATGTTACATTTATTTATTTCATGGAACAGTTATGCATGTTGTGGGACATTCACATTTAAAGTTCTGGCCTTCTTATACCTCTGGGGTAACATCCCAATAATTGTGAAAATCATATCTTTAACACTGATCTAAAAAAACAAAATAAACCCACACCAATAGCAAAAAAAAAAAAAAATGCTTTTGCAGAAATCCAGTTTTTTCTTTTTCTTTCTACAATTGCTAATTTTCAAACATGTGTTTTATAATGGCAGTCTGCAATTTATTGTAGAGTAATGTTATAATCCATCCCGGGCAATTGATGTATATTGAGGTTTTGTAATATTACCTTCAATCATTCATGCATGTATTACCCTCCATGCCACTTCTCTGCATGGGCACGCTCAAATCGCCCTAATAGTTGCGATATTTGAGACTGGTCAATGTACAATCAGAATATTGACTAAAACCATGAAAACCTCTAAATCTATACATTGAATTGTGTTTAATAAAATCTGACATGCAAATAAAATGAGCAGATTGAGAAAGGAAGCAGAATCCCAAGCAGCTTCAACAAAATGCTGTTGAATCGAGTGACTGAAACAAACAGACATCCATACAGACACCAGTTTTATCACCATTGATACAACTGTAAAAACTGAATCTGTGGTCTAGGTTTTCTCCCCCAAACAGTCTCCTTATTAATCAGTGTTGTCGGACACACCCAGTTCTTTCAACGAGGAGCTCAACCAGCTCCGTAAGAAAACAACTCCTGAATCATCAAACGCCGAGTCAATCCCCGATGGTTTATTTTCCACTCCGAGTGTCCAAAAGCAGTATATGCTTGTTTGTTTTGATTTTCTTTAATTCAAAGTCTGTAAAGAGGTGCAGCAAGGGGAGGGGCTTCCAGACCATCATCTGCACAGCCGTTGTATTTGCAGGCGTCACATGAAGTCGTCCGAGTCATAGCCGTCCTGCAGGGAAGGAAAAACTCCATAAGAAGCCAGAAAGCTAACCCCTATGACACACAGTCTTTAATTAAAAAAATTGTTTAAATTTCAGTCTAGATTTTTTGATTTTTACCTCATTGGTTTTCATCTTTTCACTCTTCATCAGTGAAGTATAATTCCTGGACAGTAAAAAGAAAGTTTTTAGAAGCATTTAACAGTGCCATGTTAAAGTATCTACTACATTTGAACTCATCGATGGACAAAAGAAAAAGCAGTTCATCGTAATGGGAGACAAAATGATGCATAGTTATAAAACCTTTTTATTAGAAAAAAACAAAAACCCAAAAAGGTTTCCAATAACAAGAATCACCACAGCATCATACACCATGTTTGACGGTGAGGAAAGCATGTTTAGGGTGGTGTGCAAAGTCGCCTCTTTTATTTTATTTTTTCCAGGCTTTCTTCTCGGCTCTCCTTTAAAAATATAAAACTAAAAGCCTTCCCGTCAACATGTTCTTCCACCTGAGTGTTGGATCTCTGCAGCTCTTGCAGAGGTTCCCATGTCAAAATAACCGAACCGACTAAAATGTATTTAATTAATTTAAGATCTTTGGCCCACCTGAGATCCTCCATCTCCTTTTTCTTCTTCTGCTCTTCCTTCTCTATCCTCTTCTGTTCCTGAAGTTGAGCTTTCTTCTCGTTCCTCTCCTCCCGGTCTCTTGCCTCCTTCTCTGCCGCCAGGTCGGGATAGCGCTCTTCTTTCGTCTTCTCTAGACGGTTTACGATCTCATTGATCTTCTTCTCCACAGCTACAATCTTCACCTGTTAGACATCAAACGTTACACAATGAGGAAATCCATGTACAGAAGAAATATATTGCAACAACCTGGCACTAACTTTGTTTTTGTGAAATATATTTAGACTGCTGACCTCTTTCTGTCTGTGAAAGCCAATCTGTCCAACATCCATCTCTCCTGTTTTCTTCAAGTTGGCCCATGGGGTGTAGACCACATTGATGTTGTTCATCTTACAGCCTGACAGTAAACAAAGAAATTATTATTCTTATTTCAAAATAAAACAGGGTTTTCTCTAAAACAGCAGAAGTTCTGATAGGAAACTACAGTATTACCCTGGATGCTGTTGTTCTTCACCAGCTGTGCACAGTCTATTAGCACCTCTGGAGGAATATCATCAATGGTTTTACCCTAAAATAAAAATACATCCATCTGAGAGGGTGTATTTTTGGCTTAAAAAAACAGATGATTCAATATCACATCCATAAAAATGTAAATATATACATTTTTTACTTTTTTTTAATAATTTTTAATAATCAAAGTTTCAGACAAAACAAATAGGCAGAAAATAACCTTTAATTTTTCAGGTTGGGCTGAGAGGATTTTTTGTTTTTACCTTTGGCATTCTTAGATAAACATGAGCAGAGGAGAGTTTGTCAACATGAAACCTGTGTATAGAAAAAAAAAAACAAGATTAAAATTAAAAATGTTACAGATTATAGATTAAGATGATCAAATTATTTTCAAACCAAAACCTTCCTTTTTAAACATACAGAGAGGACTCAATTAAGTCAAAATAAACTTTGTTTATTTAGTAGTATTATTTAGTTTGGTGACTTTCAAAGGTAATATGCTTTGAAATATTTAATATTTTGATCTTAAATGTTTTTTTTTAAACAGCTTTTCATAGGTAGAGGTACTAAATCTGTGGATTCTTTCTGCACATTAGGTTAAGCTTAGTTAAACTGGATGAGGAGTATTTGGGAATCTACATTTTAAATACTTCTAACCTAAAATTTGATTGTATTTTTTTTTTTTTTTTTTGCACTTTTACTGTGCCATAGCTCGCTTAACCACTGGAATGTGAACTAATGCCTCGGCTGAAACTTAGTAGCTATTATTCCAGAGCTGCACCGTATTTAACTTCATCTAATTCTGACCAGCTTTCTTTCCCTCCTACAGCATGATGCTGCCACCACCACCATATGGATCACTGTGGACAGCGTTTTAAAGAGAATGTGAAGCTTTACGTTTTTCTCCACATAAAGCATTATACATGAAGGCTGAAAAGTTCACCTTTGGTTTTGTTTGTCCAGATGTACTACCTGGTAGAAAAATGAAAATCTTTTGACTAAAACTTTCTTCTTTCACTGCTCTGTAAAAGCCATATTTGTTTGAATGCAGTCTATAGTTTTCCTGTCTACATATTTTCTCTGCAACCCCTTCAGGGCTACCATGGAACTCTAGACTGTTAAGGAAAAATTGCACAATTTTGGGTGGACACCTGTGTCATTGTAGGTTTGTATAAACTTAAAATTCTGAGATGATTTATTCAGTTCTAACTTTGCATCTCACTGATGCTGTTTATTGCTAAAAACCTCGGATGACCTTCATAGAACAAGTAGGAGCCTACCTATTAAGCCATTATTCTATTCTATTCTATTAGCCACAGGTAGATTGTTTGATGATAAATGTACTTGTACATGCATTTGGCTGGAATGGATTTTATTAGAGAGTATCAGAATTATACACATTTGTATTGATCCGTTACTTAACTTCTCAAGAAAATAGCTCAATGCATGAAATGCAAGCAGGAGAGTTAGAGCAGCCCCAAGAAAATACATTTTGATAGGATCAAGCGCTGCACATCTGCTTTGCTTTTCTACAGATAATTGGAAGCAAATACTAAAGACTCTTACCAGATGTCTTCAGGCCAGCCATATTTAATCAGATCCTCATCTATGCACAGAAACAGCTCGTTTTAATTCAAGATGGGGTTAACTGACAACCAGAAAGCAGCAATTGAAACAAAGGTGTGAGAGATCAGCCTTACTTTCATATTTATCTTTTCCCATGTAGATGGTGAATGGGGTGTCCACCACTAAGGAGAGAAAATAGAGATCTGAAAAACTGGTTCGACTAAAGAAATAGTGGATGTCAAATGAACAAATGACAAAAAGGAGGTAAGAAAAAAATATATATAAATGACTGATGTGTGAAGCTAACCGGGCTATACAGACCAACCGCGCTTCTAATGTTCGCGTTAGACTCACCGGCACTTGTGAAGTAAAACACCATTTTTCTTTAAAACAAAAAACACTGATAATATATTAATGTAACAAGCTTAGTTTGTTAAGTAATAAAAAAAACAAATGAAAAACTTAAGAGTTTACTTTTCGCTGCTACTGTCACTCTACTCATGTACGGACTGACCCGGAAGAGGTTAGCTGCTAACGTAAAGATCCCACGCAAAGACCGCATAGACTAATTCTACCCATCAAAATAAAGTTCATATTTTCAAGTAATATAGTACATTGAAATTTAAATGTCAAACTTTGTTCGAATTTTTTTCTTTAACGGTTTTTGGTTGTGCTCAGTTTTCTTCAGGATAAAAATTAAAATATATAGTTTTATTAAATTCCTAAGATACTGTTAAAGATAAACAAATCTGCAGGTTAAATTTTTCTTAACAGTTTATTCTGGAGCATTGTACGCAGTTGAAAGTGCTGTGAATACATATTACACATAAACAAATTGTCAAGGATTTAAATGACAACAAAATGTGTTTTGTTTTATTTTATAGTTTTCATTTAAATAATTTAATTTGATTAATTTTACCCAACTTTTAGGTAACGGATTTTATAGTTTGTCTCTTATTATTTTTTTTATTATTATTTTGAAACGGGCTAAGCTATTTCACATTTCACTGGTGCTCACATTTCCGCTTCCGGTTGGGTTGTACAACTATTTTTAGACTGGCGCGCGCTCTTCAAAAACATAGACGAGAAACGCGCGAGGACAGAGCAGCAGCAAGACCTGAGACATCTATTTGTTTTCATCGTTCATTGTTCAAGGTACACCAGAAGAAATGTATATGTGTGTAATGACGACCAACCTGCGTTTTCCCTGGATGTTTGTTAACTTTATTCTCGATTTTAAATTGCGCGTTTAACGATCACATTTTAAAATTTTAAATACGACTCATCACATAAGTTAAAACTACCATGTTTTAAGTAGTTTTTAAAGATGAAATTGTGTTTTACTTTTGATAATGCGCGGACAAAGTGGTTTATTCAGCTGTGCAAGAGTCTGGGCTGTAACTGACACACTTGTTTGTTTCATAAGATGATCATCCCGCCAAATGCGCGTTTGCTTTAACAGTTTACTTCTAAATATTGTGGGGGACTTTAGTATTTCCTACCAGGTAAAAGTGAAAAACGACTTATCTTTAAGACATAACTAAAGTGTCTTTACGTATTATACTGAAGTAGAAGATTAAATCAGACCTGTACTGCTATAAGCTAATTTACCGTAAAACACGGAAGGAGCAATTTTCTTTCGCGAGCCTTCTTGAAATTCATACTGGAAGGTTTATTAACGAACCTCTGCCTATTTATTTATGATACTTTTCACTTTCAAACACGTATAGCTTAATTTTTAAAGATTATTCGACCTGTTTGACAGAAGAAAAAGGACAGTTAAAAGACTATTATTTTGTATGTGTAAAAGTAGACATAAACCAATCAATTGATAAAAACATGCCTTTAATTTTAGGCAAAATGCATTAAAATCGCCATTCCCAATTTATCAAATCCCTCAGCATTAACTGATATGTCTTTTAAAGGGTTTAAACAATGCATCTACTCACAAAAATCAGAAAGGTTGTGGAAATATGCTTTGCATAAATTAAAAATGTACTGTCCTGGAACATTTTTTATCTATCCGAAAAACCAAATATCGTGTGCTATTACACCTAGGTAAACTTTGAACATGATACCAACCTCAACCAGAAAGCGAAAACTGTCCTCACTGGACTCTGAAAGGTAAGCTGTAAAGATGAATGAAGATTAAACGAATAAAAGATTTATGCAAACGTACTCCCTAAAAGTAAGATCTAAAAATAAAAATCTAATGCATACACCTGGAATCTGGCTTCTAATCTGACATTTTTCTCATTAGTCACCCTGCCAAGAAGGGCATGAAGGAGCAAGCCTCGCCAGTAAAGAGAAGATCCCCCCGAAAGCGCCTGCTCTCTCCACATGTGGAGAAGCAAGCAGGACAGGAGTCGCCACATAAGCCAGCAGGTAAGACAGGCCAGTTTAGTGTGACCTACCATTCCTTTTGGCTCCGACAGTAAAAATCTAAAGGTTTTCTAGTTACTGTGAGAAAATCTACTTCCACATGACAATCAGGCTTATTTTTTCAGGCTCTCCACGTAGATCACCACGTAAATCCCCTTCGGTGGTTACAAGCTCCTTCTATGGCAAGCAGAAGACCATCTATCTCAATCCACTTGAGAGAAAGGCAGTAAAAGAATCTCTGCCTTCCCTCCCCCCTGTTATTACCCCCCCCCCACCATCAGCCCAAAAAACAGAAAAGAAAATGAAGAAAACGGTAAAAAGAGGCAACAAATCCAGAAATGCAGTAGCAGGATCCGGTAAGAGAGGAAAGAAGAGTACCAAAGGTTCTCCAGCATCTAAAAAGGCAGTTGAACCATCCAAAAGGAATACCAGGTTTGTTTCTGATGCTTTATTTTAAATATATTTAGATGAACCCTTCTAGTATTAAACATTGGCTTTCAATTTATTTAGCAGCCTTGCAGTTAAACAAACATCCACCAGCAGCAGCAATGTACCAGCAAACAACAACCCAGTAGAGGCAAAGAAGGGAATCACGCTCTCTTTCGCCAGCCTGAAGCCCAAGCCCAAGATCTTTGTTGGAGCCGCTTTCTTTGGTACAGGAAAGAAGCCAACATCCATGTATAAGATACCTGCTCCGAAGTCCTCAGCCAGGCCAGCTCCAGTTAAGTCCAGGAGCCAGACTGGACCCCCACAGCAGAATGCTAAGACACCAAAGCAGCAGGTGGATCTAAGGGTTGCATCACAGCTGCAGGAGCCAGGAAAGGTTTGTGTGTTATTAGTAAAAAAAAAATCCATTTAGTGTCTCACAATGGAGAAATTGTGGTGTTAAAGCACCAATAGATTATAGGAAAAGTGGTTGCAAAAATGTGGACCTTTAAAAAAAAAAAATAGTGTCTAAATAATTGAAAGATGTTTTGCAGTTTTTCCATCTTTAATTCTCATCTAGGATTCCTTATAATCTTAGAAAGTTTTCCTCGTCATTGATGTAAAACAGAAGTTACAAGTGCCTTGTTTAAAACTGAATCAATAAAAGTGATGTCTATGTTCATTTGTAACCAATCTTAGTGTTTGTCTGGAGAGATTGTCATAAAGAATCAATGAACCTCATAATTTTATCATTCAGTTTGCAATATTAAATGTTTTAACGTGATATTTTCTTTGTTGTGATTGCTGTACAGCAAATGGATCTGAAGGAGATCCAGGACGGTACAAAGCAGAGGACGAAGTTTGATCCAACTGACTGGATGGATGTTAATGATGGGGAGTCAGAAACCGCCAAACCATCGAGGTAAAACTGGTTTAAAAGACGAGCGAGGGCTCCCCTTCACGAGATAAATTTTCCATTCTTAAAAATCCTTTTTTTTTTTTTTTTTTTTTTTTTTTCAATTTCAGACATGTATGTGTTTCTAACTTTTGTAGTTCAAAATTTTTTAGATTTTATTTTTCCATGTTTTTCCTTTTAATTGAAATGGGATACAAATGAAATTATGCTTACCGGTAGTTTGTGTAACAAATGCTTCATTAGTTTATATCTGGCATTCTTTATCTTTTGATTTGACAACTTTAAAATTCTGTAGAAACAACAGTAAACAAAATTTAGAGTAAAGCTAAACAATTTTGCAAAAAAAAAAAAAATTGGATAATCTTAAACTAATAGTACAATTTCAATTTTCTTAAGCACAAGCATATAGATTTTCCAATCCAGAATTTTTGTTTTTTCATGACCTTAAAGTTAGGCATGTCCCGATTCCATTACTGTTACCTTTGAGTAAAAAAAGCCTAATTCTGCTTGCATGCATTAATCTGTGAGCTAGCTGAAAATGTAATTAAATTGTTCAGCCCTAGCCTTTAGACATTTATTCTGCCATATAATGAAAAATCTATTTGCAGTCCATATGCAATACTGTATGGAACCTGCAGTAAATTTAAGAGTGAGGAAAAAAAATCGGTTGTTGCTTTTTCCAAATAATTTTTTTCTGAGACTTACACAAGGCAGTGCACATCTGTGCCTAAAATGTGACACTTGATATGCTAGATAAAGAAGGTTGGCATCATGTTAAAGGAATAGTACACCCAAAACATGATTAGCCTTCATTTTCCACTCACCCCCATGCTGAACAACACTCTGGAGTACTTTTTTGATATCTCAAATGCATCTGGAGATCTGGGAGGCTTCTTGCTGTCTGCTGACATTCAAATAATGGAGGTCTATGGCGCCCGAGGCAGACAGGTCCATAAAAGTCCACAAAAAACGTGTCAATATTCCTCCATACTGCTCGTCCAATGTATTCCAAGTGTCCTGAGTGGGTAGCGTCCATAATTTACTCGAAACGAAGTCATTTAGAATGTTTTTAGAGCATAAACAGTAGTGTATAGGATTTCCTGAAAGCGCGCACATGCGCGTTCACGACGCTACGGAAGCCGGCAGACCAAACCAGATGAAAGTGCGCATTCAGCGTCTGCTCTGCCGATAATGCAAGTGTAGAAGAAGAAATGTGCTGTTTACCTGTGCAAAGAAAGAAACAACGAAAGAAAAATGTCTGAGGACTTCAGTGTTGAGGAAGAGCATGAGTTCTTTGCCGAGCTGAATGCGCTGGTTTGGTCTGCCGGCTTCCGTAGCGCCGTGAACGCGGATGTGCGCGCTTTCAGGAAATCCTATACACTACTGTTTATGCTCTAAAAACATTCTAAATGACTTCGTTTCAAGTAAATTCTGGATGCTACCCACTCAGGACACTTGGAATACATTGGACGAGCAGTATGGAGGAATATTGACACGTTTTTTGTGGACTTTTATGGACCTTTCTGCCTCGGGCACCATAGACCTCCATTATTTGAATGTCAGCAGACAGCAAGAAGCCTCCCAGATCTCCAGATGCATTTGAGATATCAAAAAAGTACTCCAGAGTGTTGTTCAGCATGGGGGTGAGTAGAAAATGAAGGCTAATCATGTTTTGGGTGTACTATTCCTTGAACTACAAAGGCAGTTGGAGTAAAGATATGTAGGGGAGTGCTTTGAGTAGATTGGAACCTTCTTTAATTAAAAAGAAACATTGAACATATTTAAGACTGAAGAAATGCCGAACTCCACATATTCCTATGGTATTAAGTTTTTCCATTAAAACTTGTCAGCTGTCAATCTTTGTCTCCCTCAGCTCCCCTGAATTAATGGCTGAAACACACGGGGTTACAAAACAAGTGAAGATTGTTCTTTCCAGGACGCCAAGTCCTAAATCTACAGCTTTGTTCTTCGACAACCAGGTAGGGATGACACATTTGTTAAGTTTGAATTAATTGGCTGCGTCCTCCGAAGGCCAGATTCTTTGGCTGATCTCGTCATACCGCAACGTCGAGGCCTGTTCAGATTGAAAGATTCTTTGTTGTGTGGCCGACAAATGCAGCCTTCTTTTTGCCCGTTTTGAAGGACCGGTCTGGTGTATCTAGTGATTGATTGTGAGTCCAAGCAAGCTAGCTGTTCGGTTCTCAGACGAAAAAAGGGAAATGGCGCCAAACTGGTGAAAATTGTGAGGTTTTATGAGTATGTGAATACTTTTGACTGAAATTGACGAAAATAGTTTTTTGATGATTAGTGAGTCAGACATGTAGTGGGTGATGTTTGGTCTATTAAAATGTTTTCTGCAGTGTGGGGACTACTTATCTGATATTTGCGACGACGGTACTGCTGCTGAAACTCCTCTGAAATGTTATTAACACCCAGAACAGTCATAACGAGTTCAGTACGCATTCTTTGCCTATTTGTGTGTCAACTTTCATGGTTGCTGGGCAACAGAACATACAGGAAGGGAAAGCTGGAAAAAGGCTGGACCTGTTTGAATCCATAGCCAAAGCCCTTCCAGTATCTTTATTTTCACGGATCTCGAAGAACCCAGTCCAGGTAGACCGGGTCCTTGGAGGATGCAGCCTCTGAAATTGAAAAAATAAACATTGACTTGATCGATATGAAGACATGTTTGCTTCAGCAGCTTTAGGTTTCATAAAAAGCATCATCTGATGACATTGTGCAGGTATTAACTTTAATGCTTGTTTTTCTTTTCTTTTTATATTTTACAGGATGAATTGCAGACAGATGGCGGTTCTGAGCAAAGTAAAATAAACCCCACCGAATCTTCCACAACTCCTTCCAAAGGTGTGCGTCAACATTTTATCCGCTTCAACCTTTATTTAAATGGTTATAATAATTGATCTGTGGCAGATTCTTTTTCCAAGTCAGACAGAACATTTATGTTTATACAAAATACCTAATCCTAATGCTATATCACTCCCCCTCCTCCTCTCCAGCTTCTGGAGCGGTGTACCCCATATTTGGCTCCTCATCAAAAAGGTGAGATATTTTTTAAAGATGTTGTTGTTTGGCTTAATATTTGTGTGCATGCATTCAACATGAGCTGACCCAGAGTATTTTATTGTGTTTTATCTTATTTCCTGCTGTCCTCATTTGGGTTTTTCACATATTTTTTTAAGTATTTACATTCTTTGATATTAAATGATTAACCAGATATTTCAATCTTAAAAATAAAGAAGTGATGAAATGATTGTACAGCAGTGAAATTGAAGCTTATTTTTACACTTTTAATTTGCATTATTTAAAAGACACAACAGTCGCCACCACCTAATGTTTTAATTTCTTTTTTCAGACTGAGTGCAGCGCTGCGTCCTCCAGTATCCTGCAGTACCCCCTCTGTCTCCTCAGGAGCTTCACCCCTGCCAGCTTCATCTGCAGTGAAAGAGCGACAAACTCGCAGGAAGAAGGAAAAGCTGGATCATGACCAGCTCATCATTGTGAGCCTTTTTTGTCCTTCATTTTTCAGTGCCTGAATTTTGTTTTGCTTCATGCTTTGTACATGTAAAGATTGTGTATATCAAATTCATAATGCTTTTTTTTTTTAAGTATTTAATACAGTGTAATATTAGTTTGTTACGTATGCTACAAAATGTTAGAGGGAACAAAAAAAAAAAAAAGTAAAAGTACACTACATGGCACAACATGCCATAATTATATATTTTAGGATGGTTAAACAATTTTGTTGTATATGAAATCTGTTTAAAATTGTCTCTTAAATAAAGCATTTTATTTTTAACACCTTAAAATAATGACCAGGTTCCAAACAGCAGGACGATATGGCTCAAAATTTTCGCATTCACCAAATATTTTTATTATAATTGCTAAACATCATGTCTTTTACTTATTGTGAGAAGGAAGACTTAGTGACGTGAGTTTACCTGACTGTATTTGCCAGGATGCTGGACAGAAGCAGTTTGGTGCTACAACCTGCAGCTCCTGTGGGATGGTTTACAGTGCAGACAACCCCGAGGACAATTTCCAACACACCCAGTTCCACCAGCAGTTTCTGGACTCCATCAGATATGTGGTAAGATTTCCTTAAAAACCTTTACCAGGAAATCTATAAAAGCAAATTTTTTTTTTTTTGCGATTTTTGAAAAGAACAAAGCTTGTTTTAACTCGCGTTAAAGCCAGAGGATAGCCAATGTCCATATCTGATCATAGTCATTTTAATTACCTCCATAATTTAGTTAAGTATGTATTTAAAGTTAAAATTGGAGCATAATCAAAAGTTTATTCAAGCTTAAAGCAACTTGATACAAAATGCGAAACTCATTGACAAAATTTGCCTTTTGTTTATTTTCATTTTGGTGGTGGTCTTAGAGTTGAATTGTTAAACATTTTAACAGAAATGTTATGTTAAGACCTTATTACAGCTGACACTGCTTTTTTGTGTTTTACCTCGGATAATCCGGCTGTATGCAAACGTGTTGGAAAGTTTGGTGGTAGGATAAATGATGTAACAAATTTCTGTCAAACATTCCATTTTTGTTCAACGTAATCTTAATTTTGACCGAAAAGTGGAAGTTTAATTTGCTTTAAATCTTAAACATAAGAAATTAACAGAAAAAAAAACTTGAAGTAAATAGTTGAGAATAGGTTTCTAATTTATTGATCTGAAGTTTCATTCTTTATTTTTCCAGGGTTGGAAAAAGGAACGGGTAGTGGCAGAGTTCTGGGACGGTAAAATTATCCTGGTTTTACCCGATGATCCGAAGTATGCAGTCAGAAAGGTACGGGACCACACACTGGATAATTCTTGGTTGTTGTGTAAAAATAATTTGTGTCAGGCACAAATCGAAGTTATGAGTTTTTTTTTTTTTTTTTAAGGCTGAAGAAGTCCGCCGTATCGCCGATAACGAGTTGGGTTTCCAGCAGGTGACTCTGAGCAGACCAACGCAGGCTAAAACCTTCCTGTTCATCAACACAGACCGACTGGTTGTAGGATGTCTCATTGCTGAACCCATAAGACTGGTAAAAAAAAAAAAAAGATGAGGTTTTCATTGCTTTAAATATTTGTTTGGTTTAATGTGCAACAATAATGCCTGTTTAATTTTATGTGTATACAATTAATTTCAATTCAGACCGGCAAGCTCTTTTTATTGACTAATCATCGGAAATGTAAAGGAAAATATTTTTCTCAAACAGAATCTAATTTTAAAACCTAATAGTTTTTTAAACTGTTCTGCGACTTCCCTGTTATACAAAAGCCTTCATACAGATCTTAAGCTTTGGAAATTGTTATCCCGTTTTTCCATGCAGGCCTACAGGGTTCTGGAGCAGCCAGATCACAAGAAAGACATGACGAAGGACGACTTCATGGAACGCCACAGAGCCTGGTGCTGCTCCACCACCCCAGAACAAGCTCTGTGTGGAATCAGTCGGATCTGGGTCTTCAGCCTGGCGAGGCGGCAGGGCATCGCAACCCGTATGCTGGACACAGTGAGGTGAGACGTCTGCAATTGGCCTTTTCTTGTTTTTATTTTGAAGTAAACTTTTCAGGCATAATCATTGTGGCTCTTAGTTCCATATTTTAGAGACGTGATTACTTTAAGTAGTCAGATTAAAAAGTTTTATTTTTCTGAACATGACTAACGATTTAATTATATCTTGTTCCACCTTATGTCTGCCCCCCTTCTTTTTTTTTTTTAAAGGAGCACCTTCATGTTTGGAAGTTATCTGAGCAAGGACGAAATTGCATTTTCTGATCCAACACCTGATGGGAAGCTGTTTGCCACCAAGTACTGCAACACCCCAACCTTCCTTATTTACAACTTCATAGCATAAGAAGGAAGCAACAGTTCATTAAATATGCTGCATTAATTGGCGTGAAGTTCTGAAGTTTTTCGTGTTAAAGGTTTTTTTGCTGAATGTTAATTATATGCAAAGCTGTTTTTTGTTAAAGCTTTGTGTGTAAAGTTGTTTCTATTGGGTAAGGTTTAGTATTCTGTATTTATAATGCAGCCCTTTTCCCTGAATGTTTTAATATCCCTTCCCCTGCTGCAGTGGGAAAATAAAAGTTCATACAATTTGATGTTACTTTTAAGCGTTTTTATTGTGAGTTCAGTTTTAACTGACAATCTCAATTTGTGAGACATGTTCAACATAATAGGATTCATTTTCCATGTACCCGTTGGAAGTATTCTGCACTTTGAAGGCGAAATATTTCTGAAACACGAATTCCATCACTGTTAAAGGGGAAATCAAACGATCAAACTTAGTTCATGGGATTGTGTCTTACTGTTATCGATAATTAAATTATAAACGTAAAGAGTAAAATTAAAAACCTTTTGTTTTATAATTCTTTGGTAAGGGTGCCACCATGTTGCAGTACCTCGAATGGTGACCTCACAGGGTTGATTAACAGTAGCTCTAGCAATTGGATATACTGGCGACAGATCAACCATAGAACATTTGGTTTGATGGAGGATAAAGCTGAAAGGGTTTTATGGTTGTGATCTATCAGCAGTGCTTCCAATCTATACAACTGCTAGAGCTAGCATTAATCTATCCCTGGACATCGCCGTGCGAGGTACTTCAACATGGCGATGCCCTTATCAAATTATAAAACAAGGCTTTCTTTTCTTTTACGTTTATGTTTTTCTCATTTGTAATATAAGTATTGATAAAAGTAAGATACGATCTGGTGAATTAAGCTAGTTTGGTTGAACAACTCTTTCCCCTTTAAGGGATGTTCCTGCTTCGCGCATTTAACAAAAATTCTTTTAAGGATATTTTTTTCCCCACCCACTTTTACACTTATTTACAAAAAGACAATAGTAAGAGCATTTTATGGTTTACTGTGAAAAAGTTAATGAAGTAAAGGATACAGTAAAAGATGACAAAACATAGAAATGACAATTATAAAACAGTGTTTTAACTGTTCCAGACAAATGGTTAACATTTACAAGAGTTCAGAGCAATAAATGAAGATGTTAATCAATAACGATCACCTCACATGGTGCTCTGTCCAACACAGTGTTGTCCTCTAAGGCCTGGACAATCTGTGCAGCTGATGGTCTCTTCTTAGGGTCTTCCTCAGTGCAAAGACAGAAGAGCTCCACCATCCTCCTGTACGAGGTGCCCAGAGATGCAGCGTCCAGCGGTGGCCTCGTCCCCAAACGCTCATAATAGGCATCCTCATCAAAGCTCTCCTCCATTGAATCGTCTAGAATGTACACAATATTTAAATCAGTGAATCTTGTGATGGAAGATGGTTTGTTTTAATACCATAAATCCATCGGAGTTAGAGATTTTATTTTCCTTTCAGAAGTACAAATAAAGGTAGTTGTTAAGATTCACTGGTAAAAAAACCAACTAATGTTAAGTTTGCTACCATAACTATTTCCTAAGTCTTAACCACAATAACATTTTTGTTTAACTATTTTCATTTATTACACAACAAATCAGATAAAATTTTCCTAAAAGGCAATAAGGAATCTAGAGTATACTTTTTTTTAAAAGACCGATTAAAATAACACTATAAAATGCTGACAAGTTTAACACTACAACCATGGTTTTTCTTTATTAGTAGCCTTTTCTTTATATTTTGAAATGGGGGGGGGGGGGGGGGGGGGGGGGATATACCATACAACCTGTAAAATTTTATGTAATTTTTTTAGTCAGGGTTTAGTTTGTATCAGGTTTAGTACGTTAAAGGGGAATGCTGTCCCCCACACACCCGCGGTTCTATTTTTTCAAAAACAAAGCAACGTGTGTATGACGTCATCGTCCGGGCCACAGGCAGCTACGCTCTACCCCTTATATTCATTCGGCTAGCTAATCTGAATTGTTCAATTCCATTTGAAGAGCGAGATCATCTGTGGTAGTAGCACTAGACATCTTCCAGGCATGTGAGTAAAACTAGCTGCAGTTCAGCGGACTGCTGCTGCAGGATGAAGGAATGGTAGCCGGCGCGCAGATGACGTCATACACACTCCGCTTTGTTTTAAAAAAATATATAAATATAAAAAATATAACCGTGGATGTCTGGGGGACAGTGATTTGCCTACATGTTATGAACGCTGCCACACCATAAAGAATAAATTTTGAACAGTTTAGTTTGAGCCTTCAAGTCGTTGCCCATAGGAAGACGTTACTTGGATATAACCTAACGGAATATCTTCAGAACAGCTCCAAATGACACAAAACTCATATGGGTGAGTAGAACATGATGTAATTACTTAAAATCAAGGGGCCAATGAAAAAAAAAAAAAAACTGGCGTCCCCTTTAACTATTGTCCCTGTAAATGTAGTGGACAACTTAGGCCGGTTTACCACTTTCAAAATAAAATTTTCTGTAATAAAAAAAAACAAGCATTGTATCCATAAGCCCACAATTGTGAAGCCATCTTACCCCCGTTATCGTCTTCATCACCGTCCAGCATCTGCAGGTGAGGCATGTCCAGAGTCATCATCTCCCACAGGGTCAGACCGAAGGCGAAGATGTCTGCCTTATCGGTGATTTCTCCTCCCTCCTCCAGAGCTTCTTTTGGCTTCCACGGCTCTGTGCCGATATACTCTGCCTTAGGGTCAGACACTGAGAACAAGTGGGGTTATTGTTATCCAACTCTTTGATGGGCATCTCTACAACATTTACACATAGGAGCTACAATACATATCTAGTTTACCTTCTTCATTTTCTTTCTTTTAAGCTAAACAAAGGCAAGTTTACCTCTAAATATCCACCCTTCCCAATCATTTACGCTGGCTAATATCATGCACAACAACTATGAGCCACTAGGGGCGCTAGAATAACAACCAAAAGGTATAGAACAACACTCTCCCTCTGGGTTCTGATAGACCAGTAGATTGAGAGGACATGGAATATATACATATATTTTACTTCTGGGCTGATATAAACTATCCCCTCTAGTAACAACTGATCAATTTCCTTAAGGACGTCCCAAAAGACTGAGAACCCTTTATAATTGAAGATAAGTTATACCTTTCATGTTCTCGTAGAGATGCAGAGAGACACCAACGTCACAGATCTTGACAGTCTCAAAATCACCTTTGATAACCACGTTACACGACTTCATGTCCCCATGCAGAAGCTTCTTCTCATTGTGAAGGTACTGCAAAGACAATATATAAAATTAATAATCTGGTGTTTTCATTTGGAAACCAAATGAAAACACAAACTTCATTAATGGCAACATTTCACATGTTAGATACGGGTTAAAATAAAAAAGTCGGCCCCTTTTAAGTTTGTTCTATTATGAATGTCACACTGAGGTGCTTATATATATATTAGGGATGGGACGATTTATGAAAACCGTCAGAATCGTTCGGTTCGACTGTCTCGGTTCGGTTCGCGTGTGTTTCGTTCGGTTCATGCGCTGCTCCTTTTTCTCATAGAGGAAGCGATTACACTCCAGAGCAGAAGGTGGCAGTGCTGCGACCAAAGCCAACCGCCAGTAGTAAACAAGAAGAAGAAGAAGCGAAGCAGCTTAGCCGGGTGTAGCAGGGGAAGAAAATCAGAACAGGAGTTGGAAGACGAGCCAGCAGCACTTTATAGGTCTGCTGTATGGTAGCGCTTTGCATTTAGAGTGACCTACGATGACGGCGGAAAGAAAGTTGTGGAACAGTGTGCAAGCATTGTGCAACACGTTTTGTTTATGCTAACAGCAACATGTCATGCTAACCCCGTAATCCCACATACTCCGTCAGTAACCCCCGCTCCGCCCCAGACCGGCTACTCAAAGCAAAGCTACAGCCTCCACTGTGGCTTCGTCTGCTCCCCTCTGAGTCCCTTGGAGATGTTAGAGAGCAGGCGCCAGATGATTAAATTCAAAGCAGCAAAACATACGGAAATGATCCAGGGTTTTTGCGGATCATTTAAAATAATTACAATCCATTATTTTTTGGGGGATTTTTTCATTAACTTCATAAATTTTTATGGGATTTCGGTGTAACAATCAACATGTATCGAACCGAACCGTGGATTTTGTGAATCGTTCCACCCCTAATATATATATATAGTTTTAATATTAAATAAATATAACCTTAATAAATACAAAAACAAATTTTCAAAATATTAATACAATAAAAGGAAAAAAGAACCCTGTATAAACCAAACTGACACTACAGTTTCTAAAACCCTTTTGCTTAATTATGACTTGACAGTGGTTTAAAAAAAAAAAAAAAAAAACACTGCACAACTTGTGCTTTTTTACCTAAATTGAAGTGTTTGCTTAAATTGAGACATATTAAATGAATTTTTAGGTCAATTTACAGCACTTGGCACGTATTGATGCTTCATAAGGGCATCTTTTCACAAAAAACTAGTCTACAGGTGCTGGTCATAAAATTAGAATATCATGAAAAAGTAGATTGATTTCAGTAATTCCATTTAAAAAGTGAAACTTGTATATTATATTCATACATTACATACAAACTCATATATTTCAGATGTTTATTTTGTTTAATTTTGATGATTACAAATGACAACAAATGAAAATCTCAAATTCATCATATCAGAAAATTAGAATATTACTGAAGACCAATAAAAACAAAGGATTTATAGAAATGTTGGCCAACTGAAAAGTATGAACATGAAAAGTATGAGCATGTACAGCACTCAGTATTTAGTTGGGCCTCCTTTGGCCTGTATTACTGCAGCAATGCGGCGTGGCATGGAGTCGATCAGTCTGTGGCACTGCTCAGGTGTTATGATAGCCCAGGTTGCTCTAATAGTGGCTTTTAGCTCTTCTGAATTGTTGGGTCTGGTGTATTGCACCTTCTTCTTCACAATACCCCATAGATTTTCTATGGGGTTAAGGTCAGGAGAGTTTGCTGGCCAATTAAGAACAGGGATACCATGGTCCTTCAACCAGGTACTGGTAGCTTTGGCACTGTGTGCAGGTGCCAAGTCCTGTTGGAAAATGAAATCTGCATCTCCAAAAAGTTGGTCAGCTGCAGGAAGTATGAAGTGCTCTAAAACTTCCTGGTATGTGGCTGCGTTGACCCTGGACCTCAGAAAACACAATGGACCAACACCAGCAGATGACATGGCACCCCAAACCATCACTGACTGTGGAAACTTTACACTGGACTTCAAGCAACGTGGATGAAGTGCCTCTCTTCTTTTCCTCCAGACTCTGGGACCTTGATTTCCAAAGGAAATGCAAAATTTACTTTCATCAGAGAACATGACTTTGGACCACTCACCAGCAGTCCAGTCCTGTTTCTCTTTAGCCCAGGCAAGACGCTTCTGACGCTGTCTGTGGTTCAAGAGTGGCTTGACACAAGGAATGCGACAGCAGAAACCCATGTCTTTCATACGTCTGTGTGTGGTGGTTCTTGAAGCACTCACTCCAGCTGCAGTCCACTCTTTGTGAATCTCCCCCACATTTTTGAATGGGTTTTGTTTCACAATCCTCTCCAGGGTGCGGTTATCTCTCTTGCTTGTACACTTTTTTCGACCACATCTTTTCCTTCCCTTCGCCTCTCTATTAATGTGCTTGGACACTGAGCTCTGTGAACAGCCAGCCTCTTTAGCGATGACCTTTTGTGTCTTGCCCTCCTTGTGCAAGGTGTCGATGGTCGTCTTTTGGACAACTGTCAAGTCAGCAGTCTTCCCCATGATTGTGTAGCCTATAGAACTAGACTGAAAGACCATTTAAAGGCTTTTGCAGGTGGTTTGAGTTAATTAGCTGATTAGAGTGTGGCACCAGGGGCCATCAATTTTGAACCTTTTCACAATATTCTAATTTTCTGATATGATGAATTTGAGATTTTCATTTGTTGTCATTTGTAATCATCAAAATTAAACAAAATAAACATCTGAAATATATGAGTTTGTATGTAATGTATGAATATAATATACAAGTTTCACTTTTTAAATGGAATTACTGAAATCAATCTACTTTTTCATGATATTCTAATTTTATGACCAGCACCTGTATATACTGGAGCATGTCAATCTGTCGTTGAATGGGCCATGAAATCCAGAGCAATGTTTTATGGCTGAGCTCCTGTTAAACACGAAAGCTAATTAAGGTAAAATTACTCTGAGGCAATAAAACAATAAGCATGAGTGGTTTTAAACAGGGACCATGAGAGACCAGTGCCCCTTTAGAACTGTCCAGTGTCCTCGTTACACTGCAAAAACTATGTAAAAAAAAAAAAAAAAAAAAAAAAAAAGAGTAAACATTTCTCAAAATAACTACCCTTAATTTGAGCAGGTAAATAAGATGATCTGCCAATAGAATAGGTATTTTTACCCTTAAAATAAGATACTAAGATATTATATCTTTGAAATAAGAGACTGATGTTTTTTTTATTATTTTAAATCTTAATAGTCTTGTTCTATTGGCAAAGTGCCTCATTTACCTTATTCTTTTTTTAATAAAAATTAAAACTATCACATATGAGCAAAATTACTCAAGTATTTGGTAGATCATCTTATTTATGTGCTCAAATTAAGGGCAAATACATTTATTGTGTATCGCACTGTTTTAGATTGTTTGTTGCAGTGTAACACAATCAATTTATGATCATATCGTAGGACAATTTAATTAAATTAATTTAATTTAACAATTAATTTGAATTTACAGTAGACTTTGAGCCTTTTCTTTTTTGTTCGTCCATTCTTTTGTGCAGTTGTGCAATAAAACACATAGCCCTTTTATCCATTATTAATTGATTCTATAGAGCAATATTGAATTTTTGTTTTTGTTGATGATCTGAGACGTTTAAGTGCAACTGAAAAAAAAAACAAAAAAACAAAACCAACCGAAACTAAAGAAATCTGGAAAGGCAAAACCTCCACCTTTATAAAACAACGTACACAAGACATTTATGACACGTTTTACCTTCAGCCCACGCGCCACATGCAGAGCCACCTTTTCTATGTTAGCAGCGGGAAAAGCTTTTAGTCCATTCTCCCTCCGCTTCTCTATCAGGTCGTTGAGGGACTGCTCTCCTCCATATTCCATAGCCAGACACTTTGAACCGTCTTTTGCTGTAGCAAAGGCACGGAAACCTTGGCAATGACACAAAGAGGCAGAGAATTACCCCTAGGGACTCACACTGGTTCAGAGTCAAGAAACAAAACAAGCCATGAAACAATTTATCTCCATGTTCATGAGATTTAACAAACTGATGAAAGGAGGCTTAATGCATATCACGTCATTATATATTGTGGGGTGGGAAATATTCTGTGGAAAAAAGTAATGATCCTGTTTCTACATTTCTAAGGCTGTGTCTGAATGTCCGCCCGAATCAGTGTATAGGACACTATATAGAGGTTATGCCATTTTAGATGAGTGTCCGAATGTCTAGTGGATGAAAAAGTAGTGGATTCGAAATTTCACAGAACACACTTTGAAAAGTAGTGATCATCCATGGTCACTTGACAAGCAGATATATCTCAGAATGCTTTGCAAGGAAAGCAGAAAGCGTCATAGGATTTGTTATCAAATAACAAAGATGGTGCAGGCACCGTGCAGGAAGGCAGAGTTACGTGACAAACCTGAAGCGAAAACTAGTGATCATCTGTCAGAAAGGTCAGTTAACTGAGTTCACCATAAAGTCCACCTTATAGTCCTCGCTCTATATAATGATTGAGAAATTTAGGAGTTAGGATGGACGTCCAGACACAGTCAAGGACTCTAGGTGCCTTTTCATAGAATCCAAACATCCAGTCTTTTCCTTGTAAGGTTTTAAGCACATAAGAGTATTTACCATTTATAACATTTGATGTAGAATAATTAATAATTCTTAATACAGTAAAAAAAATATATTCTAAACCATTACGTTAAAAATGTTTCGTCTTACCAACAATATTTGGGTGATCTATTCCTTTTAGGATCTCTGCCTCCTCATTTAGACGCAGCTGGTAAACAGCCGACTGTTTGGATGCACATTTACTGTTGATCTTCTTCACAGCCCATGGAGATGAGTTGAGCTTCCCCACTCTGGATTCAAAATGGAAAATGTGTCACTGCAACACCTGATCTCATGCAACAAATTAGAGAATTAACCTCCTGGGCTTTTCTGTTGATAAGCACCGATTTAACAATAAGAATTGCAGCATAAAAGAGATAAAGATAAATAAGTAAACGTTGAAGTTAACTCCTTCAGGCTGTGAATGTTCCCTTACAAAGTTCAAGGTAATGAGCAATTTATGTAGACCTGTTTCTTAAACAGATGTAATTTAAAGAGCAATGAATATAATGCAGTGTTTCTTAATAAGGGGATGCAAGAAATTATAATTTAATGAAAGAAGTTACATGTTCTACTAGGACTTTTGTCAGGGACTAATACTTAGTAATGAGGTCTGCAACCTTTTAAACTCAGAGCCACAACATGAAATAAAAGTTAAAGAGCCCCAATAAAGACTTAATAAATACTAAAAGTCAAATAATTAAAACTAAGATTCTCTACTTTTAGAATTAAAAAGAAAAATAATAATTTCACTGTTAAAGGAGAAAAATCCTTTATATGTTAGAACAGGGTTTATACAGGAATGAGTGACTCTAATTTGATGCTTTTTAATGCTCTTTTAAATAATATTTAACGCCATCAACAAGTACCTATGACTCTTAGACTCTAATATATATATATATATATATATTTTTTTTACCGTCGAATTCCTCATTTTCCAGCTACTTTTGTTAAAATTAGCATTTTCCCCCATTCTCTGCGTTTCCATTCTGGCATTATAATCACATTTAATGAATTTTAATGCCTATTAAGGCCTTAATTTAAAAACGAAATTAATGACCCGCAGAAACCCTGTAGAATAAGTCAAGCTGGGTGACCCACCATAAATATGAAAGACAAAGAACGACACTAAGGCTACGTTCACACCGCAGCCTGAAGTGACCCAAATCCGATTTCTTTGGCCCATATGCGACCTGTGTCTGAATTTTTTCATGGCAGTCTGAACAACACAGATCCGATTTTTTTCCAAAGCGACCCAGGCCGCTTGGCTATGTGGTCCTGAATCTGATCTTTTCAAATGTGAACAGTGTCTGAACGGCCAGGTCGCATTCATCCGACCTGAATGCCATTAATAGCCAACAAAGGTCACTATTCTGGGTCTTGCTATGAAGAAGCAGCAAGAAAAACAACAACCACGGCAGACGATGATGCGGAGAGCAATATTTATGTTTAACCATCTTGAAAAGATTGTGTTTTTATGGTTGGGAAAGATCGCTAGATGCGATACCGGCACTACCATCCATGCTTACTTCCATAAACACAAAGCACGCTGGCCTGTGATGTCATTGCATCCTCTACTGCGCATGCGGGACACTCGCTTTGTATGACTGCATTTCACACAGGAGATCACATACAAGTCGCATGTATTTGGAAATGTGAACGGCAACGCAAAAAAATTTGATTCACAAAAAAACGGAATTGAGCATGAAGGCCTGCAGTGTGAATGTAGCCTTAATCCGCCCAAAAATATAAACATATGGTTACAGCTAGGATCTGTACCGGTCTGTTGTGGTGAAGAGAGAGCTGAGCCAAAAAGCAAAGCTCTTGATTTACTGTTCGATCTACGTTCCTGCCCTCATCTATGGTCATGAGCTTTGGATCATGACTGAAAGAACGAGATCCCAGATACAAGCAACTGAAATGACTTTTCTTTTTTTTGTGTCTGGGCGCTCCCTTAGAGATAGGGTGAGGAGCTCAGTCATCTGGGGAGGACTCAGAGTGGAGCTGTTGCTCCTCCACATCGAGAGGAGCCAGTTGAGGTGGGTTGGGCATCTGATTAGGATGTCTCCTGGACATCTCCCTGATGAGGTGTTCCAGGCACCTCGCACCGGGAGGAGGCCCAGGGGGAGACCCAGGATGCGCTGGAGGGACTATGCTTCTCGGCTGGCCTGGGAGCGCCTTGGGATTCCTCCAGAGGAGCTGGCCAAAGTGGCTGGAGAGAGGGACGTCTGGGCCTCCCTACTGAAGTTAACACAAACTCTTGTACCACTGGATGTGCCAATTCAGATATTATATGCAGTGTTTAATGATAACCACTGTTGACTTGACAATTAAAATCATTTCTTATTCTGTCTGGGTTAGAGCCACATGCTGCAGATCCATGTCCCTCAACCAATCATACTTCAGCTCACTTTCAGGCAAAAATATTTTGAGTTAAAGTGGCTGGATAGATAACCTAAAACTACAGCAAAAGGTTGCAACAGTGATATCAGTAAAAATCAGCTCAGTTGACCTAATATGCTTCTTATTTTACCAATACACAATGTCCTCTCCTCTCCTTTGTGTTTTAACATCTCAGGTATTCGTCATTAATGATCATTGAGAACAGTTAGTCCATTCAGCAGGATAAATATATTATCAATATGCAGTGTCCGGGCTTGACTTTCAAAAATATGCTTCCAACACTGCATTCGGTTGCCTTTTGTGATTGCACCCGTTTCCCTGTAAAACAGTTTTGTGTTTTCATCAAGGTTCACTTGGATTAAATCTGTACTAATACATAAACTAACAAGGTGAACATTTATAAACTGTGTAAGTCGGTTTCAAGGATCTTTTCCAACCTGTTCATCAGATAAACACTGACTCCAGTTCCACAACCCAACTTCTTCATGAATGGTGAAGCAGGAATGGTGATAGGGGTCCCACCTCCACTGCTCCCAGAACTCCTCACCCTGCCTCTGATGGGGGTTTTAAACACGCTGTAATCATTAGTAGAGGCCATCCTAGGAAACAAAAACAAATCAAAACAATATAAGAAACATTTTATGACAAACATTTAAAAAATGTCCCTCTGTCTTTAAATTTAAAGTACTAAAATAAAGCTCAGCTGTTTCAAAAATCCAAATGTGATGCCAGGACGAAAGAAACAAAAATGTACGAATTCAGAGGGAGGTGTCCATTTTAGGAGAGAGAAAAAAAGTTAAATGTTTTCGTTAAATCATGAAATCAATCAAGCAGTATTTATTTCCCCCCCAAAAAAAGTTATAACAGCAAGAAACCTTGAACATTTTTCGTAAATCAAAGCAAAGGAACCGACCCTCGCCTGAAACAATGACAAAAAAACCGGATGCTAAGTTTCGGCTTTTAATTAGATTATCGTCTAACACATTAATAAGGTTAATGTAGAGGTAACAGAATTAATCGTGTATTTAATCTGACATTTAAAACGTCTTTTTTTTCAGTACATTTAAAGTTACCTCGGTTTTCTCTAAACTCAAGCGAAGTGCCAACCGCGCAGTACATTCAAAAAAACGGCTGATAGGTATGGACGCCGAAGAGGGACAAAAATCTTTCTTCTTCTTTTTCTTCTTCTTCTTCTGTTTTTGTCGCAAGCAAATTCTCAGCGCTTTGGTGACTGACTCCATAGGTCGGGAGGAGGAGGGGGGGATATATGTTGGACTTGCTTAAAGCGCAGCAAAGAAAATGTTTTTTTTTTCAGTAAATGGGACCAAAAACGAGGATTACAGGGAGGAGAGGTTAAGGCTAGATGATATAAAGTCACAGAATAAAAAAAAAGAAGAATAGTAAGTTATATAAGGGGTACGATCTAGTCTCTCATCCTGAACGTTCACCTCTATGCCATATTATCTTAAAGACTGAATGAGTTATTGTAAATACCCCCCTTTAGGTCTGAATTAATCTACTAATTATTAGTGGTAAAAAAAAGTGACAAAAGCGCCAGTACACATTGCCAGTACAATGTGTATTTAAAAACTTATAAGAATGAAAATGTACTTGTTGGACACCAAGTCCAGAGGAGAATAAGTGTAATTCAAATGTTCACCAACAGGGGTCAGTCATGCATTTTTAGATTGGATTTGGAAGCAGACCTGTGACAGGTGTATCTAATAAGTATGGCATTTTCATTTTTCTAAAAACTCAATTGGTTCTCATCAAGAAGTAAATAGGATCACGGTTTTTGTATTCAGTTATTTATCTGGTGTTTACAGCAGCAAAAAGGTTGTAGAAAAAATGGTCACACAAATGTGGAACTTAGAAAAATGTATAGCAATAACATGCAAGCAAAGAGTTAAAAGATAAACAATAAAATACTGTACTGTTTTAAAAATATATAAATATAGTATTTATGTATATATATTATATCCTCCTGAGACCCGGCCCATTCATTCATGTCCATTATAATGGACATTTTGTCCACCCTTATCTCCCTTAAGTATCTGGAGTTACCCTATCAAGCCCTACAGTGTTTTGTAGAGGACATCCTGGGCTTTCTAGTGATGTGTCATGTGATAGGTTGGCATGCTGGGAACTTTACTTTTTTCCTCTCACAAGATGGCAGCCATACCAACAACAACATTTTATGGAAAGAGGAGAGGTAAGTCAAATATTCTTTATCTATTGCTGTTTTTACCATGATAATTATATATATTCTTGTTTAATAATGTGTCATCAACAATATTATTACATCTGAAAACACTTTAATTATTTATGTTTTGAAATAACAGTCATTTAATGAATGTCAACTGTAGTGGACACTGGGACCATTTTAATGTATTTAATGACTGCACATTGTTGTAGGAGACAGAAGCAGAGCAGAGAGGATTCTGTACCAGATGATAGAGGGAGATTCAGATTTGGAGCTGTCAGATGAGGAAAAGGATGAGAATGAGTATCAGTCTGTAATAGGGGAAGATAGTGATGAAGAAGGAGAGGAAGAAAATACAGGAGAATCTGATGAGACAGAGTCAGAGACAGAGAGGGAGCCAGAAAGTCGTCATCCTCTGTGGGCCAGGAAAAACTTGTATGTTTTATTTAGTTTCAGGTTAATGTAATCAATTTTATTATCATGTTACTGTAGATTATTGTAGAATTTGTTGTCTGTATAACAGATGTTAAATATATGCAAGTTGCCTAAAAAAAATGCTTGTGAGAATGGTCAATATTACATACATGACACTGAAATTATGGTGTAAAACAAATGTAGTGTTTTTATTAACTTTATTTTTTCCCATCCCATTATAATAGATTCACACTTGTGCTACCTGGGCTCTCTGCCGATCACAATGACCCTAAAATCCGTGAATACTGGAGTCTAATACAGTACTTTTCACAGTACATTGATGACAAAATATTTGAAGATCTGGCAGTCTTTACAAATCAGAGACAACTGCAAACTACAGGAGTGTCGCTGAATACTACTGCCCAAGAAATAAAAATTTTCTTTGGCATATCAGTTCACATGGCCTGCCTTGGCTATCACAGAGTGAAATTTTTTTAGGCTAGAAAAACCAAAGTACCAGTCATTAGGAAGAAGATGACAAGGGACAGGTTCTACAAGCTATGAAGTTCACTTAAGATTGTCAATGACCTGGATGTGAGTGAAGAGACAAAGAAGTCAGACATTCATTGGAGAGTCAGACCATTGCTTGACCGTGTGAGGCAAGTTTGTTTCAGCCTTCCAAGGTGTGATAAAGTGTGCATTGATGAGCAAATCATCCCATTCACAGGCCATTGCCCAGTCAGGCAGTATCTGCCAGGAAAGCCAAACCCTACTGGCCAGAAGGTCTTTGTGCTTGCCTCTCCAAATGGTCTCATCCTTGATTTTGAGGTTTATCAGGGCAAGAACACATTCAGGGGGCAAAGACTGGGAGTTGGAGCTGCAGCAGTCTTGCGAATGGTCGTGTCTGTTCCTCCAGGAACTTATGTGTTCTTAGACCTTTGTGACAGAATGCTGAGCTTCTATCGCATGTCTACCAGGACGAAGAGGTGGACATCCCACGTGATGACACATTTCTTTGTTGTTGCCATCACAAATGCTTGGATTCAGTACAAGTCTGACAGTATAGCGCTGAATCGACCAGCTAAAAACACAGAGCACTACCTGGACTTCAAACTGCATCTGGCTGAAGAGCTGATGGATAGTCCAGCATTTCATGACAGCAGTGAAGACAGTGAGGAGGAGTATCAGCCACCAACCAAAACAAGGATTCCACAACCAGAGCCATCTGTACGCAGACTAGGAGCTAGACACATGCCAGAGATGATGGACATAAAGCATGCGGAAAGATGCAGGACCATGGGCTGCTATGGCAAGACATACATGAGGTGCACCAAATGCAAGATGTTCCTCTGCATAACAAAAACGAAAAGATGCTTCCAGGAACTGCTTAGTTCTATGTCTTATAGTTTATTGTTGAACTAAATACATGTATTTTTGCTGTTGCAAGCAACAAACAAAATAAGAATTTTACAGAATTGTATCTGTTTTTATCAAATGTCAAAGGTTCTTAGGTAAATATCACTTTCAAGACATAATCTTTTTTTATTTCTTTATTTCTTAAGCTTGTTCTATTTTCCCATGAAAATCGTCCTGTTGTCCTCCACAGTGGGCATGCAATAAAATTAAAATTAAAAATATATTTAAAAAAATTAAAATTGTAATGTGTTTTTTTAGGTCCAAATACATGGGAAATCACACAAAAAAAGAAATTGTAAAAAAAATTTTTTCTTCGGTTCTCAGGAGGATATATATATATATATATATATTCTTGCTTCGCTAAATACAAAAAAGTAATGATTTACCTCAAATTGCAATCAAAAGATAAATTTATTTGCTTTTTATTTGATGCATTTATTTACATTACCACAATTGATATTGCAGCTGATCTTTCCAAATACAACAGGATAGCACATTTACTGTTTACTGTACTCAAAATAGCAGGTAATGACAAGCAATGTTAATTGGTAAGCAATCTTTTATTGCTATGACTCCCACAAACATGATTTACCCAGACACTACCTTCTGGCAGAAACCCTTGAAAATCCGAGCCCACTCTTCTTGCAACTGCCTTATTTACATTTTTTGTAGATTGCAAGTTCCAACTATGATCTTAACTCCAGATATTTTCCAGGATCCCTTAAACTATGGGATGTTTGATTTTGAGGAGTGGTTAGATTTATTTTACTGTTCAAATTTCTGATTATATGCAAACATAAACTTCTCTAAAGATGGCCAGAGATGGGTAGAGTACCCAAAAATTGTACTCAAGTAAGAGTAGCACTACTTACTCAAGTAAAAGCAAAAAGTAAAAAGTAGTCATCCAAGAAATTAATTAAGTAAAAGTAAAAAAGTATTTGGTAGAAAGGCTACTTTTGTACTGAGTGTTGGATAATACACATCAGATTTAATGTTTATAAATTATGCTGGCAAACAGACTTTATGTGCAAGTGCTGGCATTTTAAAGTCTCGGATCGATACAGAATAGAAGTAAATGTCATGAATATAAAAAATAAATTTGTGCAGAAGAAATACCTTCTCCAATTAAAAAAAAATAGTACTTAGAAAAACAGTCCTTACAATAAGAAATGTATATTTGTTAGTACAGGGTAGCAAACTTCTAGTGTTAATATCTACTATTTTCTATTTGTTTACCTGATTTTTGAATAATTCAAATTACAGACGACAGTTGTCAGATTTTACCTATTTGGGAGAAGAATTTTCAAGAATATTACTCAAGGAAAAGTAAGAAGTACGTCACAGTCAACCTTCTCCATCCCAGTCTCAGGTCTTTTGCAGACTCCAACATGTTTTCTTCCAGAATGATCCTGTATTTGGCTCCATCCACCTTCCCATCAGTTTTAACCATCTGACCTGCTGAAGAAAAGCAGACCCAGACCATGACGCTCCCACCACTATGCTTGACTGTGGGGATGGTGTGTTCAGGGTGACAAGCTGTGTTGCTTTTATGCCAAACATAACATTTTGCCTTGTTGCCAAAAAATTGGTTTTGGTTTTGGTTTCATCTGACCAGAGCCCCTTCTTCCACATGTTTGCTGTGTCTTCCAGGTGGCTTGTTGAAAACTTTATAAGACTTTTTATGGATATCTTTAAGAAATGGCTTTCCTCCATAAAGGGCAGATTTGTGCAGTATATGACTGATTATTGTCCTATTGACAGAGTCTCCCACTTCAGCTGTTAACCTCTGCATCTCTTGAAAAGTTCAAGGGGGGGCGAATACTTTTGCCATTTTGGGTGACCTGTCTCTTTGAAAACATAGTTTTGTTTTTTTAACTTCTATCCATTTTCTGTGGAAAAATATAATTGCATTTGACCTACCTGCACTTCTAAATGTACGTCAGATTACTGTCATCAGTTTAAATATTTGTGTTCTCTCTTAGGCAAACTACATTTAACAAGTAAGACCCTTTATTAATTGCGTCTGTTGCGCTGAAAACACAGAATGTAACGTTTAAGTCGAAAATGTTTTGTATGTGCCTATTTCCAAATCAACATTAAGGCTTTGCTGAAAAGCAGCCTGTCTTCGGTGATGAAGTGGGAATGAGTCTGGACTTATGCAATCA